CTCCTAGAAGAAAACAGTCAGCAAACTCTTTGACTTTGCTCTTAGTAATTTTTTAAATTTATCTCCTTGGTCAAGAGAAACAAAATAAAAAATAAACAAATGGAACTAAATCAAACTGAAAAGTTTTTGCACAGCAAAGGAAACCATGAACGAAACGAAAACACAACCTACCAGGTCAGAGAAAATATTCACCCATGATACAGCTGATAAGGGGTTAATATCCAAAATATATAGAGAACTTAAACAACGTAACACCAAAAGTTCCCCAAACAATCCAATTTAAAAATGGGCAGAGGACCTGAATAGACACTTCTCCAAAGAGGACATACAGATGGCCAGTAGACCTATGAAAAGATGCTCAACATCACTAGTCATCAAGGAAGTGCAAATTAAAACCACAGCGAGATCTCACTGCACACTTGTCAGAATCGCTATCGTAAATCAAACAACAATTGCTGATGTGGATGTGGAGAAAACGGAACCCTTAGAATCTTAGCAGTGAAAAATGTGTTTTTGTAAGCTACTGAGATGACTGCCTGCTAAGGGCTCCCAGATAGCCTCAGGATGGGGGTTGCTTGCTAGGAGAGACCACCATGTGATTAGAGGTTTGTAACCTGCAGCCCCACTCCTGGAGCCCCATGGAAGGGAGAGAGGTTGAGTTAATCATCAATGGATTGGCTGATGACTTAATTCAGTGGTTCTCAACCTTCCTAATGCCGTGACCCTTTAATACAGTTCCTTATGTTGTGGAGACCCCCAACCATAAAATTATTTTCGTTGCTACTTCATAACTGTAATTTTGCTACTGTTATGAATCGTCATGTAAATATCTGATATGCAGGATGTATTTTCATTGTTACAAATCAAACATAATTAAAGCATAGTGGATAATCACAAAAATAATATGTAATTATATATGTGTTTTCCGATGGTCTTAGGCAACCCCTGTGAAAGAGCCGTTTGATCCCCAAAGGGGTTGTGACCCACAGGTTGAGAACCGCTGACTTAATTGGTCATGACTACACAATGAAACCAACATCAAAATCCCTACATGACAGGGTTTGGAGAGCTTGTGGGTTGGTGAACAGATGCAGGCAATGGGGAGGGTGACACACCTGGAGAGAGCATGGAAGCTCCATGTTCCTCTACCCATACCTTTCCCTGTACATCTCTTCTCTCTGGTTGCTCCTGAGTTGTATTGTTTATAATAAACCGGTAACCTGCCCAGTCGGTGTAGCTCAATGGTTGAGTGTCAACCCATGAACTAAGAGGTCACCGTTCAATTCCCAGTCAGGGCATATGACTAAGCTTTGAGCTTGATTCCCAGTAAGGGGTGTGCAGGAGGCAGCCAGTCAATGTTTCTCTCTCTCCCTCTCTCTCTAAAAATCAATAAAAACATTAAAAAAAAAACAAACCCCAGTGACCTAGTAAGTAAGCTGTTTTCCTGAGTTCTATGAGCCATACTAGCAAATTTCCTAACCTGAGGAGGAGGGCGTGGAAACCTCTGATTTAGAGCTAGTCGGTCAGAAGCACAGGTGACAACCTGGACTTGAGACTGATGTCTGCAGTGGGGGCATTCTCGTGGGACTGAGCCCTTCATCTGTGGGATCTGCACTAACTTTAGGCAGTTAAGTGTCAGAATTGAACTAAACTGTAGTTCGCCCAGTTGGTGTCTGCATAGAACTGGAGAATATTGGTTGGTGTGTGTAGTGGTGGTGGTGGTGATGGTGGGGGAACCTACACACATTTGGTGTCAAAAGTGTTCTGTGAGAGTGAAAAAGAAACAGCAGTTTCCTCATTTAGTTCTGATACCCCAAATAACTTGGATGAGTTCCAAATAAATTATCCCGTGCACTGGAAGGTCACCAGTTTGATTCCCAGTTAGGATACATGCCCAGGTTTTGGGTTTGATTCCTGGTCAGGGTGCGTGTGGAAGGTAACTGATCCATGTTTCTCTCTCATATCAATTTCTCTTCCTCTCTCTCTCTCTCTTCCCCATTTCCTTTCCTCTCTCTCTAAAAATTAATAAAAACATTTTTAAAAAACCAATTGCTTTTCTATACACTAACAATGAACAACCCAAAAAGGATATTGAAAAAAAATTCCATTTACAGTAGTATCAAAATGAGTTACGACACTTAGTAATAAACTTAACAAAGGAGACAAAAGACTTCTACACTGAAAAGTAGAAAATGTTGCTGAAAAAATTAAGGAAGACAAAAATAAATGGAAAGACATCCAATATTCATGGATTAGAATCTTTAAGGTTAAGATGTCAATATTATCCAAAGTGATCTATAGATTCAATGGAATCCGTATCAAAATTCCAACAACAGTCTTTGCAGAAATAAAAAAGTCCTTCTAGAATTCTTATGAATTCTCAAGAAACCCTGAATAACCAAAACAATCTTGAAAAATGGCAAAAAAAAAAGTTGAGGAGTTGCATTTCCTGTTTTTAAAACTTATTGTAAAGCTACAGTAATCAAAACAGTGTGGTACTGCATAGACAGACATATAGACCAATGGAATGGATTAGAGAGCCCAGAAATAAGCCCTCACATATATGGTCAAATTATTTTTGACAAACATGCCAAGAACATTCATTGGGAAAAGGACCGTCTTTTTAACAAACAATGCTGTGGAAACTAGTTACCCCATACAAAAGGATGAAGTTGGATCCTTACCTCACACCATATACAAAAATTAACTCGAAATGTATCAAAGGCCTAAACGTAAGATTTAAAATTATAAAATTCTTAGAAGCTTCATGACATTGGATTTGGCAGTGATTTCTTGGATATGACATCAAAAGCAAAGGCAACAAAATAAAAATAAATTGAACTTTATCACAATTAAAAACTTTTGTGCCTCAAAGAACACTATTCAGAGTGTGAATAGGCAATCCACAGAATGGGAGAAAATTTTTGCAAATCACATATCTAATCAGAGGTTAATACATAGAATATAAAAGAACTAAAACTCAACAACAACAAAAAACAAGCCATTAAAAAGTGGGTAAAGGCCGGAACCGGTTTGGCTCAGTGGATAGAGCGTCGGCTTGCGGACTGAAGGGTCCCAGGTTCGATTCCGGTCAAGGGCATGTACCTGGGTTGTGGGCACATCCCCAGTGGGAGATGTGCAGGAGGCAGCTGATCGATGTTTCTCTCTCATCAATGTTTCTAACTCTCTATCTCTCTCCCTTCCTCTCTGTAAAAAAATCAATAAAATATATTTTTTAAAAAAAGTGGGTAAAGGACTTAAGTAAACAATTCTCCAAAGAAGATATACAGATGGACAAATAAGCACATGAGAAGGCACTTAATACCATTAGTCATTAGGGAAATGCAAATCAACCACAGTGAGATACAACTGCACACCCACGAGGATGGCTATTATTAAGAAAAGCAAAATATTAAGTGTTGGTGATGACATGGAGAGATTGGAGTCCTTGTGCATTGCTGCTGGGAATGTAAAATGGTACAGCCACTGTGGAAAAAATGGTTTGGCAGCTCCTCAAATATATAAGTATAGAATTACCATGTAATCCAGTAATTCTACTTCTAAGTATATACACCCCAAAGATTTGAAAGTGAAGACTCAAACAGTTTCTTGTACACCAATGTTCATAGCAGCATTGTTCACAAAAGCTAAAAAAATGGAAACAACTCATGTCCATCAATGGGTGAATGGATAAAGTTATATATATTCACTGAGTGGCCAATTATGACCATCTGATGTTTGTAGGAAAATTAACTATAATTTCGCACTGACGTTGCTAAAGGGCCAGACCTATAAATAGGGAAGCAGGTTGTTTACCACAACAGTAGAAGTGATTTATTCTGAAGATATGGGTAAACAATGCGATTTAACAGCCTTTGAACGTGGGATATATATTATTATGAGTGGCCAGATTATTATGACCACCTGACGTTTGTAGGCAAATTAGCCGTACACTGCATCATCTGGGATGTGGAAGCCGAAGGCCTGTTCGAACACCTTTGCTGTCTGCAGTTACCAAGATAAAACGTCTCCAATTCGCACAGGAACACAAGGATTGGACAGTCGAGCATTGGAAAAA